AAAAGAAACCCACCTTTGGGACAACCATGACCTGGATGACTGAGAAGCTCCATAGACATTGCCCTGAATTCCCCTCTCTTTCCCAAGGCGCAGCTGATAAATCTGACTTTACTGTTTGCTTAGATTATGAATTCCTTGCTGCAAGGGTAAGATCACTTGGCTGCCTGCCTGCTGGAAGATCCTTCACAAATTGGGAGGTTAAATCGGACCCACTTCTTCTCTCTCTCTTCCTAGATTACCATTCGGTGCTTGGCCTCCAATTTCAAGGCCTTCCTGAAACTTGGCTGTCTTCCCCTCCCCATCCATCACCTTCTGCGATGGAGCAAATAGAAAATCTCAGCCTACGTGCTGATACACACGACTATCCTCGGGCAAGAAAGCCTTCTGAAGCGCAGAAGCAGGGTCAGGGCGGGCTGTCATTCTCTCGAGGGGTTGTTTTTCCCACTCAGGAAAGCGGAGAGGAAGCGGAGCGACCACCTTCTCTTGGCCCAAGGCTCTTGAGGGCGACAAGACTCAGCCTGTCCCCGCGCTGTTAAAAAGGCTAAGCTTTCCCAAACTTTGGACCTCGCCCCACGTCCACCAACATTCCCCGGCCGAGGCTTTCCCAGAAATAGGTTTCTTGCCGCCGACGCCTTCTCCTTCCTTCCCTCCCCGACATCATCCCCGGGCAGCGTTTCCAAGCGTTACCTGCAGAAACCACCGTCCTCGCCTCGTCCGCTCTCCGGCCTTTTACCTGAAAATTAAGTTAAGCAGGAGTTTTTATTATTATCATTATGGCGCGGAAAACATTGCAAGGCTGCAGACGGCTGGGCGGATGAAGTCATTTCCCCAAGCCCGCCGTTTCTCCGCTGCGCCTAACCTTAAAGCGCGGCCGTCAGCTCGGGGGGGTTTCGCCGGCGCGCGGTTCCTATAGCTTGCCATGCGGGGGTTTTGCAGGAGCCATGCAGGGGATGGCCTTGGAGGCGATCCTCTAGACACGCTCGCCTTGGGCGCAAGTGCCGGCGCTTCGGTCGCGGAGAGAGGGTTGGGGGTGTCTTACCGCTCGGAGGGCATGTATAGGATCGCGCGGCGAGGCGCTCTCGGCGCGCAAGGGCAATGGTAGGGGGGGTAAGGAAGGAAGAGGGCGCATGTCACGGTTCAGCGGGAGTCGGGTCATTAGGAGCCGGGAGAGCTTGTGGGCAAGCAGCAAAGCAGGAGAAGCGTGGGAGCAGCAACAGCCCCGGGGATGGCGAGAGGCAAAGGCGCAACCAAACGCTGAGTCTGGCCATACGACGGTCGCAACGTACAAGAAACCCCACAGGCTAAACCCTGAGCGTCTCTCTTGCCCGGGGAAGGAGCGGCGTCCGCACCTAAGAACAAGCAACGCGACTCCGCGCTTTCTAGAACAGACCCTGGCACTTCTGGTCCCGCCCTCCCATTGCTGATGCACTTGGCGTTCTGCGCTCCTATTGAGCGGTTGCCACGTCGGAAACCCCGCCTTCTCCCCCCCCCCTCCGCGCTTCTGGCAGAAAACCTAGGAAAAGCTCAGGCGATGCCGTAATGCTTCCAAGAGCTGCACCCTCAACTTTCGAAACAGCTGGGCCGGCTGGAAACATGGTTCCATCATCTCGCCTCGTCTTGCCGTTTATCTACTAATGCACACCCGTAGTGGGATTAAATTTTTTTTTACTACCGGTTCTGTGGGCATTGCTGGCTTTGTGGGCATGGCAGGGGAAGGTTATTGCAAAATCCCCATTCCCTCCCCACCCCACTAGCCTGCTTTCCAACTGATCAGGGCAACAAAAGATCAGCTGGGAGGTAGGGTGGGGGCGGGGGCAGCCTATTTGCCGGTTCTCTGAACTACTCAAAATTTCCACTACCAGTTCTCCAGATCCTGTCAGAACTGGCTCAATACCACCTCTGATGCACACATTTACTTTACAACGTGATGGTTCATAGCTAAGAACACTATCGACAACAGGCGTTTCCACAGAAGAAATGGCGAGAAACAACCAGTGGAAATCTGCAGAATAGGCCCATGTGTCTGGGTTCAAGTGTGGTCCTAATGTAAGCATGACTATTGAATGAGCTGTTGTCCACATCAGTCTAAAGGGATGTTTGTTCCTCGACCTTGGCAGCTTGAAGATGTG